AATTTAGCTCAAATCTGGCCTCAAATACTACCTGTGTGACTCTGGGGAAGTCATGTAGTCTCTGTTTGGCTTAGTTTCCTATTTGTAAAAAAGAAATGGGGATGATAATACTAGTACTACTCCACAAAGTATAGAGCTGGGTGGCTCAATGGATAGAGTTCTGGGCCTATAGTTAGGAAGACCTGAGTTCAAATCTGGCCTCATATACTTACTAGCTGTGTGACCCTGGACAACTCACTTAACTTCTGTTTGCCTTAATCCACTGGGGAAGGAAATGGCAAACTACTCTAATATCTCTGCCAAGAAAACCCAATTCACAAAGAATTGGACACTGAACAACTGAAGAACAACAACAATAATACCCCAATGTTGCTGTGAGAATAAAATTAAATAATATTTGCAAAGTACTTTACAAATTTTAAAACAACTTCACATAAATTTAAAGTGCTATATTCATTCTAGGCATTATCATTATTGTTTCCTCTAACATATACCAACCATGTATCACTGGGTCAATCACTTACCGTCTTAGTGCCCTTGACCTTAAGAGTCTATAAGACTATAAGCATTACAGAAGGTACTAATCTGTACTAAGCTCCTAGTGGAAAGATTCCTACAGCATTGAAACTACTGGTCCAGTCCCAATCCCTTTATTACAACATGGTTTTATTCTTGTTTCCTCATAGTATCTTTAGGAAGGGACTCTATTATTCAGGAAAGCTTGCTTCATTTCTATTAGTTAATAATAAAATTTAAAAAAAGATCACAAAGGGTATATATAATTCTTATAAACAAACTAAACTAACTATTTCAAAAAATAAGTACAATTGACTTATTTTAAGAAGGAAAACTGACTCTCCAAATTAAAGTGTCAACTGCACTCAACTTTTTTTATATGGCTTGTGTAATTAACTTTGCCTAAAATATTCAAAATACTAAATATTCAAATGCATTTTATATTATCAATGTGAATACTCCCTCCATCATAATGCATACACGTCTGCTCATTCTTTGAAACTCTTGTCCATGTCTAATCATATGTTTGCTGCAGGAAGTATACATCATGTGCCATCTTTTGACATCTTAAGCACATTAGTGGAACATAGAGGTTGTCAATGTGGTATAGTGGTTAAGGGCCTGGACTTAAAACCAGAGAGAACTGAGTTCAAATCTTCCTTCTGAAAATTAATAGCTCTTCAGCTATGAGTAAGTCACTTTAACTCTTAGGACTTCAGTTTCCTTATTTATAAAATGAAAGAGTTGAACTCAAAGTCTTCCATAGTACCTTCCAGCTGCTCCAAATCTGTGAAACACCAGTTATTATTCACTCTAACAAACTATTTAAATCTAGTCCTTCTTCAGAGGTTATCTATTTTTATATGTTATAATATGTTCACACCTGTCATATAACTTTCCATTCCTGTCTGCATGACACTCTTTTTTTTTTCATTTTTAGACACTGTAGTATTCTGTGCCTTAAATCATATAAAAACAACAATAGAATACTGGTACTTCAAAAATGGGTCTTTTGTAAGGAGATATTTGGAATATTTAAAAGAACTTTTCAATTTCCCATAGTCAATCCAATTGACTCTCTTCTTTTCAATTTTGAGCTCAACTGGTTCTCCATTTGCAGTGCCTGTTCAAGAATCTTATACTGATGAACAAGCTCTCTAGGTTATATTCTTCATCCACTTGTCTGTTTCTGTGAGGATAGTTAGGATAAATTCTTTTGACTGTTCATGGTTCTTTTCCAGAAGTCTCTGAAATGCCTAATGCTTAATAAAATGTAATGAATAGAAAATGTAATGTAGAGAATACAATGTCCAATTGTATTTTTTTGTTGGTTATTTTAAAAAAATAGTAGACAGAGTAAAATATCAACAAAAAACGTTTCCTTCCAAGGTGTCTTCATGCATACATGAAAATTACACAAGATTCCTTGAAAATTTTAAAACAGATTTTTTTTTTGGCTCAACTATCCTCATCATTAATGTCAAAGGAAGGATAAAACAGGGAGACATGGTTGCCACCAGTGATCACTCACCACTGGAATGGAGGAGATCCAGCATTTAGTCCAAGTTGAAGAGTATTCTAGATGTTCCTGTTTGGGGATGAAAACTCTGCCTATAAATAGAAATTAATTTATTGTAATATTCTTTTGCCCCTCTTCTGACTCAAATGAAAATTATACTTGTCCACCAAGTCATTCTTTCTTACAAGATAGAAAAATCACAGATTTTATAGTTGTATTTTTTTTTTCACAGCAAAAGCCATTCATATTTATTTTCTATTACTTTTTTAAAGCCAGTTACATTCACTGGGAAAACACACACACACACACACACACACACACACACATGCATACATGTGCATACACACACGGTTGCAAAAAAAAATTGGCCTTCCACTAAAACTCTCACTGTGGAAAATTACTAGAGATAAAACAATATGAAAAAAAATTGAGAGAAAATCATACAATAGCACAAGATGATAAATGTTCTCTAAATCAATGCTTCTTAAACAGTGGGTCATGACCAAGTGCTGAAGGGGTCATGAATGGAAAAAGTTTAAGAAGCCCTTCTCTAAATGATTAGCCCTCTTCCCAGATTTTCTCTCAGACCTGGATGTTTTACTTAGAATATAAGCTCCCTAAGGATAGTGCTAGTTCATTTTTGTCACTGAAGACTCACTGTTAAGAACAAAGGAGAAACTTAATAAATGTTTCTTAAAACTAATTGTATGGAATTTAATTCACCAAATTATTTTCCCTTTGTAAATCATTTCCCATCTACTCACAGGAGGAAAAAAAACCTAAAACTAATCCTAACTTGACTAGTCTTCTTTTTTTATACAAAAATATTTATCTGGAGTCCTTTCTTGTGCTGTAAATCTACTCTTTGCTATACTAATGAAGATCACTGTGTTCTAATCTAAAAATAATTTTTAAATGATTTATAATAAGGATTCTCCAATAATGTCCTACTCCAATACCTCATTGGAATATAGAGGTAACCCTGGATTTTCTGAAGAAAGGACTGTGACACATGAGTTCTGGCTTGAAAGGTTTTGCGCAGTGTCTTAGGTTGTATGTCAGTCATTGCAGGACAAGCCTACCTAAGTACAGAAAGACTCATCACCAGAAGATCAGATACCAGATGATAATATTTTTAGAGAAACTCATAAAAATATTCAACCCCAGTTCCAAAGAATATTAGGATGTGCACAGTTGGCAAGAGTAAGAGAGTATTAGTCATCTCTGAGTTCTCTTCAGTTTTCTTCAAATTGCTTAAGGATCTCTACAATGGTTTGGGGTGTTTCTAGCTTCCAGTTCAAGAAAGAAGATGAAAGAGACCAACTCCACTTCAGATTGCTGAAGGAACAAACTGGGAAGGCTGAAGTTCTCTCTCTCCTGCCAACTCTGTCCCGTCCCTCAAGTAGGGCAGGGCATTCATCTCCAGCAATAAGAAGAGTGTCCTATAACAACGGGCTTTGGAACTGGGGTTACATATATACTAAGGCAAAGAGGGGGTGCAAAAATGCAGTGATTAAGGGAAAATGATGCATCTTCAAAGTATTAATGTACATGAGTATACACCAATTATCAATAAAGAAAGCTACTTCATATATTTGTTGTCAGGGAAGTGACCTAGTTCCAGATTTATTATTTGCAATAGGTAATTCCAAGTAGATAACTGAGAATTTATCAGATGTATAGCCTCCTAATCAAGATCTCTACATCAGTCCAATTATAACCTCCACCCTTTACAATCTGTTTTCTATAAAATCGCCAAATTAATATTCTTAAAGTACAGGTCTGGACATAACATTACCTGATCAATAAGTTCCAGTGTTTCCCTAAACCCTAAAGTATAAAACATAAGTGCTTCTATTTAGCATATTTAGGGTTAAGGTTTAGGGTTAGGGTTAGGGTTAGGGTTAAAATCTGACTCCAATCTACCTTTCCATACTGCTTAAATATTACCTTCTTCATTTATTTTATGGCCCACCTGAATTTGCCGTTTGCTGTCCCTCACAGACAATATTCCATCTCCCATCTCTACGCTATTCCTGGTGTTTGGAATGCATTCCCTTCTCACTTCTGCCTCTTAGAATCCCTAGCTCTCTTCAAAATTCAGCTCATATGCCATCTCTTACATGAGGCCTCTCCTCATACATCTTCTGCTACTTATTCCTTTAATATAATTCAAGTTCCTCCAGGGAAGGGATTGTTTCATTTTTAACTGTGTATACTCAGTACTTGGCAAAAAATAGGTGCTTAATAACTGATAGTTTATTATAGTAATCTCTCATATTAATTGAGTTGTGTACCTCATGAGTTCTGAAATGATCCCTTATAGACAGTTGCCACTAAGAATGGTTAGAATTAGTATAGTGCTTAAAGTTTCACAAAGCATTTACAAATATCTATTTTATTCCTCACAACAACCCTGAGACCTAAGTGCTTTCCTCATTTTAAAGATGAGATGAGAAAACTAAAGCAGGTAGAAGTTAACTGACTTGCTCAGGACCACACATCTATTAAGTATAGATTATATTATATTAATCTTACAATATAATATAATGTAATATAATGTAAAATATAATACAAATAGACCAGAAGGGGATGAAGAAAACAAACTCTTGTTAAAGTTCATATAAATCATAAATGGTTATTAAGATCAAGATTATGAATGACTACTAAGATCATTAAGGCATATACTTAGAATTGGAAAAAGCCTTAGAGGCCCTAATTGACAGAATCATAGCAATTTATAATTGGTTTTGTCTATTTGCTTTTATACATTCACTGCAATTATTATCTATAATAAATTTTTAAAAGGATAGTCTATCTCATTTTTCTATCTCCTACCATATAGAAACCAAGCTAGATAGTCCAGAAAAGAAAGCTTTAAAAAAAGAGAGAGAAACTTAAAAAGAAAAACATTTGGGGGGCTTCAGTTCATAAAATATAGTTGCTTGCAAAATTTCATAAATACCCTCGCACTGGAACATTCATATGCCTTGCTGACTTAACAACTGCTTCAAACCTCTCCATGCTTTCTTCGATAGAACAGTTAATGTTCTTCTTACTGAATGATTCAGATGCTGCCCCAAATACTGATACCTCTGTGGCCCCAGCTGCAATCTGTAAAACATAATTCAGAGGCAAAAATTTTAGACTCGACAGATGCCAAGTAAGTGACATTAGAAAGAAGAAATAAAAACATAGATTTATTTTTCCCTAAATATTTGGTATGTGATCATTCTCTAACATCTAGCATTTTTAATCTATCACTGCGACTTATGACAATTTTATAAGTGGCATTAATTATATAATTATGAGGCTGGAAAGACACTTTAAAAGTTTTAATTCGCATGTGTTTCTTCTAACTGTTATTTTGCCTCAGCAATATCTCAATTGAAATAGGAAAAAGACAGAACTTTTATTAAATTTTTGCTTGCAAAAAAAACTACTCCTTAAAATGAAATTGTACAAAGCTGGAATATTAAAAGAATTAAACTCTCTTCTATTCCCACATTCAAGAAGCAATCAGTTATTTTTTTTAACTACTTCTCCTTTCCTTCCCAGATTGTCTTCTTTTCATTATTACAGGAAAATCTTTCCTGTTTTTTTATTTACCTCACATCTTTAATTCTCTACCAACCCCCTTTTTTGCCTCCTGATATGATCCTTTCATTTATTCTAAATTACCCAATTGAAAATCATCTTTTCCCAACAGTTTTGACCATGTCTCTCTTCTGGACTCTCCACCATCTCACCATAATTCTAAGTGTTAATTTCAAATGTTCAGTTCAATTTTATGGGCCTGGTAAGTTCCCTCCTTTTTTTTTTTCCTCTCTCCCTGTCCTCTTGCCTATATTTAGCACATTAGTTAATAAAAACTACCCTAGATGATTTTTTCTTTTTTTCCATTATAAATGAAGCACTGTCTTCAATGCTTAAACATCTCAATCAATTTTTAATCCACTATCTTCTTACCACCTTCCTTTGCTCATTCATGTTATAGCTATACCCCACACAGGTCAGGAAAATTTCAATGTGCCTTATTTTCTTGTGCTTCTCTAAGTTGTGACTATTAATTTTATCAAAATGTAACACAAAAGATAAAAAGCAATCATAAATAGCTAATAAAAGTGACATAAATACATAATACTAAAGTTGACACCTTGATTATCTACAGATCAAATATTCATTAAACTGAACCCTGTAGATCATATCTCCAACTAGAGATGTATGGGGAGGAAGAACCTATGCATGTCCAAAATAATCACTTCCAAATCATCTTTGGCCACTATTCACAGCCATATTAACCCTATTTCTAGCATAATGTCATTAATACAGTTGATTTAATGTCTCAAATCATGCTCCCCCCCAAGCACACAACTGTATTAACTCTATTTTAGTCTATAGTTCTTAATACAGTTGATTATCTTGTTTCTACAACCTCTACAGATTAGACAGAAGAGAAGGCTAATGATGGAAAAGGGACTGACATAAAGCAAGGGAATAGAAAAGGTGAAAAATTGACACAGAAGTGCAATGCTTGGCAAGTTGTGTGGTTCAGTGGGAAAGTAAGATTTCTACAGTCAGATAACCTAGGTTGAAATCTTGGTTCTGATACCTACTGTCTGTATGACTTTGGACAAGTCATAACTTCTCAGCATCAGTTTTCTCATGAAAAATGAGAGAATTGGACTGAATGACTCCTGAGATACTTTCTAACTCTAGAACTGTGCTCCTATAGCAACTGTTCTAGTGCACATTATAATATGCTTACTATGCTAATAGTGAGGACTATTAAATAAAATAATTTTTTGAGTGGTCTTAATCATACAGAGGGCTGCTGAGATCCCTTAGAGCTGTTAAATTCTGTAATTCTGTGATTGGGGGACATTAAGAATTGGGTAAGTTATGTTCCATAAAAAGTTGAGCAGATGTAGCTTGGAAAAAAGGATAAAGAGCTGGCCTCAAAGCCAGGAGAACTTGTATTCAAGTACCGCCTAAGCCACATACTGACTGTGTGACCTTGAACAGTTCACTTAGGTTATCAGTGTTGGTTCTCAATGTTCTCAGCAACTCTCTAAGAGAATAAGCTGCTAAGAATTATTGGCCCACATTATTAAGAGAAGCTACCTAATTGGGAGTTCTCTAAACTAAAGAAATGCCAGGTCCAGTCTCTATCCTTATCTTATATTTTTAAAGTTAAAAAAATATACAGTACATTTTAGAGAAATTTCTGTTACAGATGGGCAAATTAAAATAAAAGGTTTGACACTTGGAGGTATAACCTTCATTTATCTGGAAAATGCATTTATGTGGTATACTTCATTCCTTCACAAGCCTGATAAATGAAGTGTTACTGGCTAAACAGCACATCAACTCAATCCTTGTGAGATACACATATGGATATGAATATCATATGGCCTAGGGAATTTGTTTGATAAAAGTGCAAGTTATATTGTTCAGCACTGAGAGAAATTATATTACTTACAGCATGATGAAAACCCTGAAGATTAGGAGTGAGTACAGGATATCGAACACCAGGGTACTGATAGATGCCTTTCATTACTTCTGTATGATCTGCCATCTTCAACATATAATAGTGAATAGGTTTTATTTTATTATAAAACATGATTTTATATTCATCTTAAATAATAATAATAATAATAATAATAATAATAATAGTTATCATCATTATTTTTATAAGTAGGCCATGAAAATCACACATCTCTGTAATATCTCAAAACACGTATAGAAAAGCATCATCTCTAACAGAGGTATCAAACTCACAGCTGGCAAAACTCCAGAATGTAGCCAGAATCAGATTAAAATGTAACTGAGAAATGTTTAACAAAATAAATACAAATATAATACAATATAGTTAATGTAAATTTGTGGTTTTCAAAATCAATATGTGACCCACAGAGATCCATTTCTATTTGAGTTTGACATCACTGGTTAAGAGCCCCATAAAAATGGCATTGAGTACTTTAGATACCAATATTTTATAATACCAAAATATAATACCAATAGCAGAACATAAACCTCCAGATTACTTTCAATCAGGGGCACATGAAAAGAATGTTCTTCAGAATCATAGTATCAAATATTTATCAAGGGAAAGGACCTTAATGGAAATCTAATTAGAACCTCTTATTTGATTGCTAAAGGACTGGAGGAGGAACTGAAGCCACTGTCTTGTCCTGGCTGATCCTAATCTCTAGCTTCTTTTGACTATTTTCATATGTTGATATAAAAATACAGTATCCAATTGTACTACTAATTATTCTCCATCTATGATTTAGCTTGCTGTTGTTGTTCAGATCAATAATTTTAATGATATAGGAAGTTCTTTTGTAAATGAATACTTTCTACCAAGGCATTTTTAAATCTTAGATTGCTGCATGTGGCACTGAGTTCAGTGATATACATGAGGTCACTCAGCCAGTAACGGTCAAAGGTAAAAACTAAACCAAAGTCTTCTTGGCTTCAGGTCAATGGTCTTTCTACTAAATTTTAGTTCTTTTCAGCTTACTTTAAACGTATGCTATTATTTTATATAAGCATAGGTAAAATAAATGAAAAACAATACATAAAAGTTCATACAGAAGGTAATATGTCCATATCAATTGTAAATAAATTTACTATGTTCAAAGAACTGTGTAAAGTACTGGAGATGAGATAGAGAAAGAAAGAAAGAAAGAAAGAAAGAAAGAAAGAAAGAAAAAAGAAAGAAAGAAAGAGAGAGAGAGAGAGAGAGAGAGAAAGAAAGAAAGAAAGAAAGAAAGAAAGAAAGAAAAGAAAGAAAGAAAGAAAAGAAAGAAAGAAAGAAAAAGAAAAAAGAAAGAAAGAAAGAAAGAAAGAAAGAAAGAAAGAAAGAAAGAAAGAGAGAGAACAAAAGAGAGAAAGAAAGGAGAAAAAAGAAAGAAGGGAAGGAAGGGGGAAGAGAAGGGAAGGAGGGAGAAAAGAAGGAAGAGAAATGAGGGAAGAAGGGAGGGATGGAGGAAGAAAGGAAAGAAAGAAGGAAAGAAGGAAGAAGGAAAGAAGAAGAAGGAAGAAAAGAGCAAAGGAAGGAAGGAAATCAGACCATCTCTGTTTTCAAATCAAAGAGTTACATTCTAGTCACAGAGACAATCACATGGAAGTTTTCAGCTGCAAGTGAGATGGAAAGGACCCCTATCCTTAGGATGCAGTGGCAAAGCAAGTGTTTTGTCTCTTTAATGACATTTCCACTGATAAACTCACATCACTTTCTGATGTTGAACCTTCTGACAAAGTCAGATGGTGGCAAGAAGTTTCTTTCCTGGGTCTTAGTAGCTGTGGCTGAAGCATTTTTAGGAGCAGTTGCTGGACTGCACAAGTACTGTGCTGGGAGCACAGTCTTTCACTGCCTCCATCAGGTCTGAGAGGAGATGGTGGTCAAGGTGGTAGTAATGATTTGAGTTGTATGGTATATGTTACAAACTGTCACTCCCTAAGGATATCTGGCCATTTCAGCTAAGCTAGCTTGCCAGCCTCATGAGTATTAGTTGGTGAGGATGGTCTGTCCCCTCTCTACATCAGTTGTTTCCCTGGACTGTGGAAGGGAGGGTTGGCCTTCCAGCAAGACCAGCAGTCTTTGGGTCAGAGGGAGTTACTGCCACTGCTTGAATTCCTGTGCTTATCTGCCTGTTGGTCATGGTCACAGTTGATCAGAAGGGATTACTTCTGGTGGAGAGGTGTATGCACCCCTACTCCACAATTTCTCCCCTCAGCAAAAATTCAGGAAGTGCACTGCTTCAGCTATCAATGGAAATTCAGGTACAGAGCATTGTATGTCCGGATTTATTCATACCTAATCTCTAGCCTCTCTATATAATTTTATATGTTTATATAAAAATATACTGTCCAAATTGTAATATATGCATGTGTACATGTGCATGTACATATATTTCCATTTAATTATAAGCTCCTTAAAGACAGGGGCTGTCTTTTGAATCTTTTTTGTGTCCCCAACACTTACTGCAGTGCATGGTACGTAATAGGCACTTAATAAATGTGTATTAATTGACAAACATATACATGTATTAATTGATAAACATATACACTTACATATGTGTATATCTTATTTCAACTTATTTTTTGGTTTGGACCCTGTCCAAGACTCTGTTTCCCTATCTTTAAAATTCTAGTTTTAATCCAGATGATCTCCCAAATCCCTTCTACTTCTCCAAATCTGTGTTCCTATGGCAGCCAATTTTTAGTGAATACAAATGAACTCTCATCAGTGTTCAGACATGGCTTTCTGTAGAAGTACCATAGGATCTTATAACACAAACAAATGCAGATTCTAGAATACACAATGGAAAAACCTGACATGTTATTATTAAGAATTCCTTGAATTAGGGGTAGCTAGGTGGTGCAGTGGATAGAGCACCAGCCCTGAAATCAAGAAGACCTGAGTTCAAATCCGGACCTCAGACCAAACATTTGACACTAACTGTCTGACCCTGGGCAGGTCACTTAACCCCAATTGCCCAAAAATAAAAATTAAAAAATAATTCCTTGAATTAATGTAAAAGTCAGTTTACTAGGCATAAAAGAAAACATTTACTAGTTAATTCAGTTAATATCATGCCCACTATATATGATAAAATTATGTGGACATCAATTAGAACCTAATAAAAGCAACATATTATATCGTGTCCTTAAGCAGTTCAAGTGCTGACTGTAAATAACAATTTTTAGTGTGACTCCTGCCTCCTGGGATATATCCTATAAGAGAATGCATATAATAAAAAATGTAATAAAATATATATAATAAATATAAAATATAATAAAAATATAGCAATACTTATAACTGTGCTATCATCCCAAGCGGCCTTGTTGCACACTTAGTTTTGCTCTACTACACTAAATAAAGTTGTAAATATAACAATAATATTCAAAACATAATATGAGTTAAATAACCAAATCTGAAATTCAGACATAAAAAGGCTACTAAAATGACTTATCTCTCAACCATATTTTTATGTGTGTGTTCCACCCACACAAATCTGATTGCTCTCTACCACACATATGTTGTGCTCTTCCATTTCTCCACCCTAAAAATTACTTTCCCTTTCTTTTTTCTAAAAATATCCCTTTTTAAAGCATTACTTGTCCTGTACATCTTTTAGTTCTAAGCCTACATGAATTCAATCAATCAATATCTACTGAAAACCTGGTATAGGACAATTCTATATAAAATATTCATAGTTGTTTTAAATGTAATAGCAAAAATCTGAAAACAGTTTATGTCTCACAATTAGAGAATAGCTAAATAATTACAGTATAATGATATAGTGGAAAATTGTGGTATAATACAAATGATAAATATGAAACATACAAAGAAATATGAAAACATTCATACAAAAAGATGAAAAAGGAAATTAAAAGCAGCATAACTCTTATTTTTTTTCACACTGATTACAACTATGCAAAAAATCAAAAGTATAGGGGATCAGGAAAGATGGCCAAGTTGGAGGCAATAGTATAGCCCAGTTCACCTTCAAAGCTACTAACACCCAGAGACCTAGAAAATGCACCATACTGAATGCTGATCAGAAAATCCAAGAAAAAAAGTTACAAGAAATTGCAACTACAATTTTTCCCCCAGCCCAGGCTGGCATTAGGAGACAGAGGTTTGTGGACAGTAAGGACTATGTTTAGTCAGGTGGGCACCTCATGGAACTTTCCAGTTCAGGTCTTGAACAGGGCAAGCCTGTTTTTCACACACTATGTAAAGTGTAAGAAGATGTTTAGAACCTGGAATCAAGAGCTCTGACTTTGTACACGGAGAAAGAAAGGGTGTTAAATGTTAGCTCTGTCACTCATACTCCAAGGCCAGGTGGCAGATCTAATGTGGATGGAGGAGGGGAAATGCACCTTGGGTGGGAGTCTAGGGCAAGAAGCAGGAACAGTATCCAGCAACTTCATGAAAGCCCTGACCTCAGGATCAAAGTAAAGTCTCAAATCCATCCCCTCCACCCCATGTCCAGTCTGAAGCCTCAAGCCCAATAAGCAATAAAGGGAACTTGGACAAAAGGGAGCCACCTAGATGCCTTGACTCAGAAATACCACCACTAGCTCTATTTCCAAAGATGATTAGGGAAAAAAGAAAAGAAACTATAAATTCTAAAATATTTATAGCAATTTTCTTTGTGGCGGCAAAGAATTGAAAATTATAGGGATGCCTATCAACTGGGTAATGGCTGAACAAGTCGGGATTTATGATTGTGATGGAATAGTACTGTGCTATAGGAAATGATGAGCTCAATGATCTTAGAAAAATATGGAAAGACTTGCATGAAATAATGTAGAGTGAAATGAGCAGAACCAAGAAAACATTGTATACAGTAATAGCAATATTGTTTTAAGACTGATTTTGAGAGAATAAGTTATTTTGACTATCATAAATACACAAATTCATTATAAAGGGCATATGAAGAAAGATGCAATCTGCATCCAGATAAAGAAGCGATAAATAGAAGAATGTATATAAAAATTTTACATATATGTGTGTGTATATTATATATATATACATATATATATGTATGTGTGTATGTA